GCTTTTAAATGTTTAAAGTCTTCAAAGAAACAGGATAAAACTCGTGGTAAGTTAATAAAGGTTTTGTAACAGTATTGATGTTTTGACAGCTGATGAGACTATTTGCCCTGAGAAGTTTATAAGGAAATCGCACGATTTTGCACTCAGGATGACTATCAATAAAAATAACCCAAATTTTTTTACAATTTGCTCAGACGAGATAGTTGACGAGGCAAGCAATAAACTAGTTTGTACTTTAAGATAACCCTTTACAGCCTTATTTTGTAATTTTAGATGTAATCAAGCCAAGTGCATTAGATATTTTAATCAAACATAATATTATACCCATAAAAACGTATTTACATTCCACTGACCGATTTTTGCTAATCAAAGAAAAGTTGTAAGTTTCTACATCAATACAAAAAGAAGGGGCATTTTTAAAGAATGTTATTTTCCGGTTGAAAGAAAATCTCAAAAGCACTTAAAGTTTTGAGTGCAAACACCTCTTTGCGGCGTAAATTTTTAGATATTTTACACCGTCATTTAGGAGTTAGTTCGTGCATGAAATGAACATGTTCGCGAATTCAATAGTCATATGTAAATTTACGACCAAGTCAACTTAATTTTGCGTTTTGATGTACTGAAAAATTAAAGCGTATGTGAAATTATTTCGAATAAAACAGTCGACCGAAAGTAATCATGAAAATAAAACATCAGAAGATGTCGTGCCATTACCAAGTTGCGTCCACCCTAAGAGAACGTGAGCGGTGTCGATGATGAGTCGTGTTCGAAAAAATTGTGGTTTAAGTTTTGATTTCGTTCTTGAAGTGGAAAAAAGGAATTTTTGGTGAGGCCGCTAAAAAGGATACTCGACTACTGGCTATTGATGATGGTTTGTAAGGAAAGAAACGCTGTTTAAAGGTTTTAAACAAATAACGTCAGTCACATTTAAATCATTTGAATTAGCTAATGAGCGCGTGCCTGAAATTGAACACTAATAAGGGTGTGAGGTAACTCGCCTAGCCTTGGTCGAAAAGTGAAACGCGTTAACATACAATCTTACAACCCCGGGGTGCTGGGGTAAGGTTTCTTTAGGTTTTTGTTGCGCTTTCAATTGGGGAGGTTGAGCTAAAAAAGAGAAAGACGAAAGATTAATTTTCAGACACGCATGTATTTGAAAGCGTCATGAAAGCGTCACGCGTTGTGTCAAGCGGTGAAATATAGCCGAATTACAACGCTAAACATTCCGAAATGTGAACACTTTACACTCCTCGAGTGTCCGTTGCGGTTTCTGGTGATTTCTGCTATGAGACGGTTAGGAAATGTACAAAGTTTTTAAAACATACGTGTTTCACTTTTGAGCTTTTTGCCATGAACTCGGCTAGGGGGGTTGCCCCACCTTGAGACGTTTACATGGCAAATTGTCACCCCGGCTGACAGGGTTACCCTACCTGGCAGACCGGGAAACCCGCCTAGGCGGGTCAACCCACCTATCATGTAAACGGGATTGAAAAAAAATAAGAAATTATATGGACAGGTGGGTTAACCCACCTTGGCGGGTTACCTCACCTAGCTGGGGTCCCCCACTTCCGTGTAAACAGGCCCTAAAAATGAAAGTCCGTAATTGCGCGCGCCAAGGCGTAACTGCCAACTTAGTTCTTTTTTTATGAATTCCATAAATACATAAATATTGTAACAGTTACAATGATAAATTGTTCAAAAATTCAACTTAGTTTATTTGGATCTTTGAGAGATGATTCGAAAAGTGAAAAGACTGTCATGTGGCACTTGCTTATAATGGTCGAAAAACAAGAGAAAAAAAACAGACCCAACAGAATATTGAATAACACTGTTCGTTTTTTCTGATCCAACACTAGGCCGGCGGTGAGGAAACTTGTTTTAACTTTGCAATACTCTCGGTGCAGCCTCAGTAAATAACACAGTTGTAATATTGAATTAGCTGTAATCAAGCCAGGATACATGATTTATCAGATCACGAGACAAAACTCGTAGCATTGTATTATACAACCTGTGATGCTTGCGACTAAAGACGAAACTTCGAGGGGTGTCGCTAGGCGTGTTTTCTAAGTGTTGCTGAAGTGGGGACCATTTTACCGGTCGTAGTGAAACCACGAAAACCAAGATGTGGGCGTTGCTGTGTGAGCGTCTAGTTATTTCAAATACTCCTTTGATTTCAAGATAATTAGTTGTACTATTGTGCAACACAGTACATATGTGCGCTATCGCCCAAGGTGAAAAACTAAACTTAAACATATTGAAATAAAACTAACAAAATCACTTACATATCGGTCCCGCTTGTGCCAAAGGTTTGGAACGAAAGAACGAAGGTACTGCTGTTCAAGGCGAAATCTTGCGAAACTCTGGCTTATAGGGACGCTAACTTAGCTTTTATATACGCGTGGTGACGCTAAAAGATCCGATTACAAACCAATAAGGAAAAGATAAACATTGTAACTACGATCGTAACTAGGCACACAAAGTAATTGATAATTGATCTAATCAAAAAACTGTTCTTTTGTTCGATATCCTTAACATAACCATCGCTTCAATATTTACGCAACCTCGACGAATTAAAACAAGTTGTAAGCAAACATTTTTAACTCGTTTGGTTTAGAAGAGGGTCTCTGTGGGGTGATGGGTGACTTTAGACATTAAAAAGTCCGGTTGACTTCTTCTAATAAGATGTTCGAAAGCATAGAAATACAAAAACATCTTGCGCTTGTTAATTTCCTTCGCCGCAGTGACTTCAAACTTTTAGTGATTTCGCTACCGTGACAGATGAATTATGCAAATTAGTCTGTTAAGCAAACTCTGACCGTTCTATATCAATGGCTCCCTGTAGTTTGATCCTGAAATGTTCATACAGGTTTAAATAGCTCAAGCTCTCTAAACTCAAATAGGAAAGAACACAAACTATTTTCTTTAAAAAAGAGTTGCTCGTTAAAACGCTGACCGATCGCTAATCAGTACGATAGTCGATACGTTTTGTTCGTCTCTTGTTTCACATATCACAAGAGGCAAGTGATCAGTCAAAACTTGAAGTATTGACGAGCCTGCATGACATTCCTGCCATCCGCAAGCGATTTTAAACTTCTGTCTTCATAGATTAGTTTTGACCAGGATATATTTTGATGATTTTTTTTCTGATTTAATTTTGAGTAAGGTGCCATTTCCCCATCAGTATGTTCTTAAGTTTAGGTAAAGCCGGGTGATATTGAATAACGAAAGGCAATATTTTCTTCCGTACGATGTTTCCTTTTTTTAAGTGACCCTTCTCTACTGGAGCAGACAAATCCAGATGTTTATTTCTCCAGAACTTCGTCAGGTTTCCTCTATCCCCTTCTTCAGTCGTATTTTTAAGCTCTGTACGCTTTTTATTACGTGTGGAGCGCGTCAGATTTGTTTTTAGGATGGGTAACGCTCCTCCTTATGTGAATCCTTTCCTTACGCCTCCTAAAATTTCTCCACAGTTGCCCGTATGTCAATAAAAAGAGATCATGAGTGGTTGAAAAGGATCTTTTAAGATGCTACATCAAATTTATTCCTCGAATATTAAAGGTTTTGTTAACTAAACCTTACAAAAGGCTTTGAAAAAAAATTAAACCAGATTCTAGTGGTTCGTTTTATACCTAAACTACTATTTTAACTTTACTGATTTCGCTTAACTTTAAAGCCTTACTTACGTCAACGTTTTTCTGTGCTCATGATATTGGAAATATAATTTTTGCGTTGTTCAGTTGAAGGTTTCTTTATTCTTCTATTTCTTATATACAACTTATTACTTCGGGACTAACTCAGATCTAACAAGGAAAGCGTGGGTCTCCGCTTATAAAAGGGACGCTTACTGAGCTGCCAATCTCTAACCTTCGTCATCCTTTTACACTTAACTAGCGAATCACGTTAAGCTACGCAGAGTGGAGTTCGCATACTAAGTAGATACCTTCGAGATGTTTACGCTTTACAAAATCATTTTCTTCCTTAAATTTCTTAGTCTTACAGTCAAGGTTGGTCATAACTTAAACAAGATTGATAATATAAAAATTGTAATGAACTTACTAACAGAATTAGAATCATACTTGAAAATATATCTTAAGAGGAAATACTCCTCGAAGACTGTTACACAACAGCACAATAAACAGAAAATTCGGACAAGAAAGGGCGTACCCGAGGTACTGCCCCTAAAAGAGCTACGTGCTATTCGTATAAATTACCTGATTAAAATTCAGTGCGGAGGATGAAAAGTACTACTTGTTTACACCTTAAGTCACCCCTATGAAAAAGAGATGTCGAGCGTGCTAAATTATACCTGTAAGATAAGACCGCCAACAGGAATAAGAAATGATCAACTGGCTTATTATAATTTTTACTGAATGGCTTATGCTAATATACTATTTCCATTCATTTTCAACGTTTAAATAAGTAAAAAAAAAACACTGGATAGATACAAATTTTGTCTTTTAACAATATTGAAAAAGAAAGCACAAAAAATTGAACTAGATCTAATTTGGGAAAGCTCCTTTTTTTAATCAATGAAATACCTGATAAAGTATGTTCTCTACTTGTTTCTATTCAATTTATGCATCTAAAAGTCTTTTAGCTCTGTTTCCTTCGAGTGATTCTCATTATTTATTCTGTCGAGGTCTCTTTCTCTGTAAACAAAGTGAAAAAAAACAGCACTTTATTATTAACTCGATTAACATTTTGGATATAAAGAAAGCACAGTTATACCAAGCTCAATATCTAAAAATATAAATGGCTAACACTTGTATGTGATTGGCAGAAAGGCCCTTTCGAGATTCTCTATTTACATCAGAGAGCGTCGATAGTAACTCTCCGAAAAGAAAAAAACAACAACAAAAAAAATATATATATATGGATAAATATCGAACTACCCTTGATGTTAACAAAGGATCCCCGCCGACAGTCAGCGACCAGAAAACCACACCTACCTTCACATCTACTTAGACTTTAATTTGTGAAATATATTTTCGGACTGAGTCTTACCTCTGCTTGCCAAACCCGAGTCTCACATCATCTCCAATCAGCGTAAACGAAGCCCACTCAGACACACTGGTAGAATTGCTTTTTCTCATCCACTTCATGGCCTGATGGAGGGATTCACTGGCACTTTCTCCCTCTACAAGGTGTTCGTAGAACCGACTCATCAGCTGCTCTGTTGCTGAGTCTGAAATGGCCCACAGCGCAACCAACACCGAGCGAGCACCAGATCCTAAGAACGCACGGGCAATTCCTATAACTCCCTCGGCTCTAATGTCACCTCTTCCACTGTGACAGCAGCTAAGTACCACCAGTTTAGCTCTGACTTTCACTCGTGATACATCAGCCATCGTCAACATGTAATCTTCATGTGGTAAGATAGCGTTTCGCCTGTTGGAAGTACTAGAGATGGAGGAGAGGGCAATTTCTCCCCTTTCGGCGTCACCATGGGCAGCAAAATGAATCAGGCTCACTGAACTTATCCGCTCAAGCACCGCCTGCTTCGTTGCTTCTTCTCCTACCAGAGGCGGAACACCCACCAGTCGTCCGACCATCTCCGCTTCCTTTCTTGCACCTGGCAATGATGGCAGCCAATTAACCTTAGGGTTGCCTATTATCAAGGCACCAGTGTAGCTGTGATAGTCCTCTGGGCTATCTTGAATAATCTTTAGTGTTGCCAAAGAAGGAATGACACGGATTCTATGAGTCTCCGAGAGGTATTGGGCTCCCTCCTTTTCACTCAGTGCAGCAAAGGGAACTTTGTACAAACTGCGGTCAGGAACGATAATGACTTCAGGCTCCTCAAGCAAATCATAAACGGGAGCAATAAACATTTTGTAACACAAAAATAGACCTGAAATCACTTTCTCTTCCTCATCCTCGTCCTCGTCGTCCTCCACGAGTCGCAATCTTGCTGACCTCTTCTGTGCGGGGGAGAGAGGTTGCAATTTAACCATATTTAAAGACCGATCTTCACAATCTTTAGTGGGCAAAATACCAAGACTCCGGAAATTATCATCCAAAAATTTACTCAAACGCAAATCTTTGGGCAACCCAGCATGAACTAGATTCTCTTCTACTGATATTCTTCTATAGTGAAGGACTCCACTTTTCTTTAAGATCCACAAACGCAGATCACTCTGAAAATAAGAAATGTACAGACAAGTACAGTTATTTTTCTTTCTAAAAATGTTCTCAACGCCAAACCAAGATTGCGGATTAGCAGAGATGTGCGTTCCAACCGAGTACTTCTCTACCATTAAGTCTGATAGGCCTCTAGCTCGACCCAACTCCTCAACATAAAGAGCATCCCGAGCATTTCCGGTGTCACAAAGCAAACTACAAAGCAGCTTGTAGGGAAATATTCCTGAGTGCTCCAGAAATGATGTTTTGAACTGATCATTGGCGCCTAAGAAATATCTCAGCTCCTCATACTTTTCAATGCAGAGATAAAGACACGAACGGGATTCTTTTTTTTTATCTTGCGATAAATACAAAATGGCGTAACTTTGAAGGATTTCGAACTCTTTTCTTCTATCTCCAATATCTCTGGATATCGATAAAGCTTTCTCTAAGCATACTTCTGAGGCTTCATAATCTCCCATAGCTCTACACACACATCCAAAGTTAGCAAGATCTGCTACTTTCCCTTCTTTATCATCAATTTCGGTTGTGATGACAAACGCTTTTTGGAGATACTCTCTAGCCTTGGCGTATTGTCCGAGCGACTGAAACACAGTACCTAGGTTTCTATAACATGATGCCTCTCCTTTTCTGTCGCCAATTTCAGTTCTGATGACAATCCCTCTATGGAGATACTCTTCAGCTTTGTCATACTGTCCGAGCGACTGAAACACTTTACCTAGGTTTCCATAACATGTTGCTTTCCCATTTCTGTCGCCAATTTCAGTTCTGATGACAAGCGCTCTTTGGAGATACTCTTCAGCTTTGTCGTATTGCCCGAGCAACCCAAACAAATTACCAAGATTTCCGTAGTCAGTTGCCTCTCCTTTTCTGTCACCAATTTCAGTTCTGATGACAAGCGCCTTTTGGAGATACTCTTGAGCCTTCTCGTATTGGCCGAGCGACATAAACACAGTACCAAGATTTCCGTAGTCAGTTGCCTCTCCTTTTCTGTCCCCAATTTCAGTTCTGATGACAAGCGCCTTTTGGAGATACTCTTGAGCCTTGTCGTATTGGCCGAGCGACATAAACACAGTACCAAGGTTACCGTAGTCAGTTGCCTCTCCTCCTCTGTCACCAATTTCAGTTCTGATGACAAGCGCTCTTTGGAGATACTCTTCAGCTTTGTCGTATTGCCCGAGCGACTGAAACAAATTACCAAGATTTCCGTAGTCAGTTGCCTCTCCTTTTCTGTCACCAATTTCAGTTCTGATCACAAGCGCCTTTTCGAGATACTCTTGAGCCTTCTCGTATTGGCCGAGCGACATAAACACAGTACCAAGATTTCCGTAGTCAGTTGCCTCTCCTTCTCTGTCACCAATTTCAGTTCTGATGACAAGCGCCTTTTGGAGATACTCTCTAGCCTTGGCGTATTGTCCGAGCGACTGAAACACAGTACCTAGGTTTCCATAACATGTTGCTTTCCCATTTCTGTCGCCAATTTCAGTTTTGATGACAAGCGCTCTTTGAAGATACTCTTCAGCTTTGTCGTATTGCCCGAGGAACTCAAATAAAGTACCAAGATTTCCGTAGTCAGTTGCCTCTCCTTTTCTGTCACCAATTTCAGTTCTGATCACAAGCGCCTTTTGGAGATACTCTTGAGCCTTGTCGTATTGACCGAGCGACATAAACACAGTACCAAGGTTACCGTAGTCAGTTGCCTCTCCTTCTCTGTCACCAATTTCAGTTTTGATGACAAGCGCCTTTTGGAGATACTCTCTAGCCTTAGCGTATTGTCCGAGCGACTGAAACACAGTACCTAGGTTTCCATAACATCTTGCTTTCCCATTTCTGTTGCCAATTTCAGTTATGATGACAAGCGCTCTTTGAAGATACTCTTCAGCTTTGTCGTATTGCCCGAGCGACTTAAACAAATTACCAAGATTTCCGTAGTCAGTTGCCTCTCCTTCTCTGTCACCAATTTCAGTTCTGAGGACAAGCGCCTTTTGGAGATACTCTCTAGCCTTGGCGTATTGTCCGAGCGACTGAAACACAGTACCTAGGTTTCCATAACATGTTGCTTTCCCATTTCTGTCGCCAATTTCGGTTTTGATGACAAGCGCTCTTTGGAGATACTCTTCAGCTTTGTCGTATTGCCCGAGCGACTGAAACAAATTACCAAGATTTCCGTGGTCAGTTGCCTCTCCTTCTCTGTCACCAATTTCAGTTCTGATGACAAGCGCCTTTTGGAAATACTCTCTAGCCTTGGCGTATTGTCCGAGCGAATGAAACACAGTACCTAGGTTTCCATAACATGCTGCTTTCCCATTTCTGTCGCCAATTTCAGTATTGATGACAAACGCTCTTTGGAGATACTCTTCAGCTTTGTCGTATTGCCCGAGCGACTGAAACACATTACCAAGATTTCCGTAGTCAGTTGCCTCTCCTTCTCTGTCACCAATTTCAGTTCTGATGAGAAGCGCCTTTTGGAGATACTCTCTAGCCTTGGCGTATTGTCCGAGCGACTGAAACACAGTACCTAGGTTTCCATAACATGTTGCTTTCCCATTTCTGTCGCCAATTTCAGTTTTGATGACAAGCGCTCTTTGAAGATACTCTTCAGCTTTGTCGTATTGCCCGAGCGACTGAAACAAATTACCAAGATTTCCGTAGTCAGTTGCCTCTCCTTTTCTGTCACCAATTTCAGTTCTGATCACAAGCGCCTTTTGGAGATACTCTTGAGCCTTGTCGTATTGACTGAGCGACATAAACACAGTACCAAGGTTACCGTAGTCAGCTGCCTCTCCTTCTCTGTCACCAATTTCAGTTCTGATGACAAGCGCCTTTTGGAGATACTCTCTAGCCTTGGCGTATTGTCCGAGGGACTGAAATACAGTACCTAGGTTTCCATAACATGTTGCTTTCCCATTTCTGTCGCCAATTTCAGTTTTGATGACAAGCGCTCTTTGGAGATACTCTTCAGCTTTGTCGTATTGCCCGAGTGACTGAAACAAATTACCAAGATTTCCGTAGTCAGTTGCCTCTCCTTTTCTGTCACCAATTTCAGTTCTGATGACAAGCGCCTTTTGGAGATACTCTCTAGCCTTGGCGTATTGTCCGAGCGACTGAAACACAGCACCTAGGTTTCCATAACATGTTGCTTTCCCATTTTTGTCGCCAATTTCGGTTTTGATGACAAGCGCTCTTTGAAGATACTCTTCAGCTTTGTCGTATTGCCCGAGCGACTTAAACAAATTACCAAGATTTCCGTAGTCAGTTGCCTCTCCTTTTCTGTCACCAATTTCAGTTCTGATGACAAGCGCCTTTTGGAGATGCTCTCTAGCCTTGGTGTATTGTCCGAGCGACTGAAACACAGTACCTAGGTTCCCATAACATGCTGCTTTCCCATTTCTGTCGCCAATTTCAGTTTTGATGACAAGCGCTCTGTGGAGATACTCTTCAGCTTTGTCGTATTGTCCGAGCGACTGGAACAAATTACCAAGATTTCCGTAGTCAGTTGCCTCTCCTTCTCTGTCACCAATTTCAGTTCTGATGACAAGCGCCTTTTGGAGATACTCTCTAGCCTTGGCGTATTGTCCGAGCGACTGAAACACAGTTCCTAGGTTTCCATAACATGTTGCTTTCCCATTTCTGTCGCCAATTTCAGTTTTGATGACAAGCGCTCTTTGAAGATACTCTTCAGCTTTGTCGTATTGCCCGAGGAACTCAAATAAAGTACCAAGATTTCCGTAATCAGTTGCCTCTCCTTTTCTGTCACCAATTTCAGTTATGATCACAAGCGCCTTTTGGAGATACTCTTGAGCCTTGTCGTATTGGCCGAGCGACATAAACACAGTACCAAGGTTACCGCAGTCAGCTGCCTCTCCTTCTCTGTCACCAATTTCAGTTCTGATGACAAGCGCCTTTTGGAGATACTCTCTAGCCTTGGCGTATTGTCCGAGCGACTGAAACACAGTACCTAGGTTTCCATAACATGTTGCTTTCCCATTTCTGTCGCCAATTTCAGTTTTGATGACAAGAGCTCTTTGGAGATACTCTTCAGCTTTGTCGTATTGCCCGAGCGACTGAAACAAATTACCAAGATTTCCGTAGTCAGTTGCCTCTCCTTTTCTGTCACCAATTTCAGTTCTGATGACAAGCGCCTTTTGGAGATACTCTTGAGCCTTGTCGTATTGGCCGAGCGACATAAACACAATACCAAGGTTACCGTAGTCAGTTGCCTCTCCTTTTCTGTCACCAATTTCAGTTCTGATGACAAGCGCCTTTTGGAGATACTCTCTAGCCTTGGCGTATTGTCCGAGCGACTGAAACACAGTACCTAGGTTTCCATAACATGTTGCTTTCCCATTTCTGTCGCCAATTTCAGTTTTGATGACAAGCGCTCTTTGGAGATACTCTTCAGCTTTGTCGTATTGCCCGAGCGACTCAAACAAATTACCAAGATTTCCGTAGTCAGTTGCCTCTCCTTCTCTGTCACCAATTTCAGTTCTGATGACAAGCGCCTTTTGGAGATACTCTCTAGCCTTGGCGTATTGTCCGAGCGACAAAAACACAGTACCTAGGTTTCCATAACATGTTGCTTTCCCATTTTTGTCGCCAATTTCGGTTTTGATGACAAGCGCTCTTTGGAGATACTCTTCAGCTTTGTCGTATTGCCCGAGCGACTGAAACAAATTACCAAGATTTCCGTAGTCAGTTGCCTCTCCTTTTCTGTCACCAATTTCAGTTCTGATGACAAGTGCCTTTTGGAGATACTCTCTAGCCTTGGCGTATTGTCCGAGCGACAAAAACACAGTACCTAGGTTTCCATAACATGATGCTTCTCCTCTTCTGTCGCCAATTTTGGTAGCTATAGCAAGGGCCCTCTCAATATATTCCTTCGCCTTTAGGTTTTCGCCAAGTGTTTGAAGCATAATTCCAGACTTTATGTATAAGATAAACAGCATCTTGTTGAAAACAACTATAAAGATGTCTTTGCTGTTTTGATCGATGCTATTTAGCAAAATCAAACATTCCCTGCAAATCTCAATGGCTTTCTGAATGCGATTTGAGTTGAGCAAGAACACGGAAACATAGACAGCGATGGTCATGAAAGCTATCATGGCTTCTGCTATTAGGTTTCCATTGCCATCCTCTCCTGTAATCAGGGAAACATTTCTTTCAGTAACGAAATATAAAGTGATTCGATAATCTAGATTCATAATGAGTCACTACAAACCGGAACACACATGTTAAGTTACAAAAGCAAGCTTGGTCGATTTCACCTTGAAACTTTTTGTAACGAGCTGAAAGTGTTAGAATTCACCATATCGGCTTTAAAAAAAAATTGAAGAAGGGTGTGGATAAGTACAGCTGGAACACATCAACGGATCACATGCGATGAAACTTTTTAAATTTTATTTGACCTGCACAGATTCTTTGAAACAGACTGTCACGCTATGAAAGTCATCTGTTATCCATATGATTTTTGATCCAGCTGTTTCGTTTATTCTTCTTATCAAGTAAAAGAAAAAATGACGCATGCTTGAGTTTGATTAACGATCGTAAGTCGTGGGGTCGCGCCATCAATTGGGTGGTTTTGAAAGGTTGCAGGTTTCTTAAAAAAACAAGAAGGAATGATAAACCTTTTACTACAACTTTCTGGGAACATTTGAAAATGTTGTTCTAGCAGTTTATCACCGGTTAACGAGCTTACTTATCTGAGGTATATGGCTGAAAACGAATCTATTCGTAACTGATAAGGATGATTGCCAGGATTTGAGGTAACAGTGGTTTGACAAACTCGGTTTGTCACCCTTCATTTTACCTAAGTTGTGATTTTTGCACAACATGACATGACTCTAAAGTCACAGGATAAAGATAAACAAAACAGCATTTATCTTAACTTTTGCTGTGAGAACTTTCCCCTTGCATAGTTTCTATAAACAACATTAATAAACGGGGTAAGTTTCTGAAAAAACTTTGGTGGGATATACAATATAAGTTGGCTTTACCAACTGAGTTGACAATGTTAATTGGCCATTGTGATGAGTTTCTGAAGCTGACGTTTCAAACGTTAGCCCTTCATCAGAGCATTTGATAATCTTGGGGAATCAATGATGTTGTACTACCACTATTCTGCAAAGAAACTAGCAAAGAATTTCTCCAAAAGTAAACTGATTCTGGAACCGAAACTACCCACCGAGCTGGTTATCTTCACACCGGTCATTTGTGATGAACATATACGTTGTCACGACCAAAATGTCCATTTCTCGTCTTCTTTGGGGCGACCGATAGAAACTTCATGGAGAAATACAGCGTCACGCCATCGTGATAGGGTGTTTATGACAACTGACCGGTGTGAGGATAGTTTCGTGTAGATCAACCGACTCCAACATGTTTCAAATAACATACAAGTATAACAGTGTATCTTCAGAGAATTTCAGACTGCTCAAATTCCCATGGAAGAAGGTGCAGCACTCTGAATCTGGATGATATGTACACGATTTGAGGTCTATGTTTGTAGTTACGTCGAGTTGTCCTCCACGAAGGTTGATCAATTTTTTTAAAAGATGACAAACAGAGGCGAGATTTCTCCTCGGGATATTGCTCAGAAGATAACATTCTTTCAAAGCCTCGCACGTTTCATTTGTCTGAAACGTTTGTTGTTGAGAACATTAGGTGTAAACATCGCCAAATTATGCAATATCTGATTTTTGAGCTTTTTTTGCGAATTGCCCCTATAAAAAGAGGAGGCAGGCCCGCAGAGATTTTTACATATTTAAAAACAAGAATATTATAACCAGCTAGGTGGTTAGTTTCGGTTCCAGAATCGGTGTACTTTTGAAGAAATTCAGATGAACGTTTTCCCTGTTTTAGCCGACAACAAAAATGACCGAAACTGTACCGAGATGAATAATCTATTGGTGTGTTCACATTCACTCCCAGGGAAAATTGAATGAATCAATGTGAAGACGAATGATGTCACTATATATGGTACAAGTGCCAATTTGTAATGTTGTATTTAGCTTGAGATAGAGAAATAAACATTTCACTCTTTTCTTGCGACGTTTTTGTATGAAAATCAGGCCCCAGGCCTCGAACAAGCAGTCGTTGTTACTATAGCAACAAGAGTGCTGCGGCCTTTAAAAAGGGCATTTTTGTGTATCCCCCCTGAGTGCCTAACTGCGTGCAAAATTTGAAGGGGGTTGAAAATTTTCATTTCCCAAGATGTTTGATTCTTACAGAGACTTGATCTTAAGCGTTTTAATTCTTGGGCTAACAGGAGACAACCTTTAACCACAACTGTCTGGAAGATTTCCTGACATTCCGCTATACGGCATGGAGCGCTTGAAAATATTGTTGTAGCAAGCTATTACCAAGTAACGAGCTTACTTATCAGATGAATGTCACTGAAAACGAATCTATCCTTAGCTGATGAGAATGATGAACAAGCTGTGGGGCCACAGAGGTTTGACGAACTCCGGCTTTGTGACGAATTTATTTCATCCGGTGGCGATTTTTGCACAACATAACATGACTTAATAGTCACAGGACAGGACAGGACTTAAAAAAAATAATAATTTATGCATTTGCAATAGAGAAGTTACTTATTCCATATGTGACCGTAAAGTTAAAGCTAAAGTTAAGATAAAGTTACTCAAAAAAAACAGTACACTGATAAAATTATTGACCGATAAAATTATTTACCTCGCAGCTGACACTTTTGAAAGTGAAACGACAAAAACAATGAAAATCAGAAGACAATTTTTTCCCTCATTACTAAACTTCCCTCAGTAATGAGGCCAACCTATGCTATGATTTTTAAGTGTTTTGTTTCAAGGAAGAGATCAACAACTTTCAATACATCTTGACTTGACACGATACGATTCTACACGTTTTTGATCTTTTAGAATATCAAATATCACTGATGAATAAAGTTGATTTTTCTTGTCAGTAAAGGGTTTATCGAGTTTATATGAGAAACAAAATAATACATGGTTGCTTGTGGATATGAAATTTCTCTCCTCGTGTTCAACTCGAAATCTCACTCATTCGCTGCGCTCACTCGTGAGCTACGTAGTTAAACACTCGAAGAGAAATTCCATATCCACGCGCGCCCACGCATTATTCTCTATGTAATCCTCTTTTTCCCACTTTTATGCAGGCATATACCATGAGTTTGTTAAATAGCACCGGAAAAATCTGTAGATTTTTAACCAAAGTTGTTTGGGGGTATTGTATAGCCTAACAAAGTAATCGAACCAAATTGATGTTTGAGGTTCGAAGCTCACATCCATCGTAAAAGTAAGCGTTCTGATCAATAACACTATGACAAGATTAAAGTAATCAGTCAAGTAACGTTCTGCTCCTCACCAGAAATACACTTTCTTTCCTCGTGAGCTCTCAGCGTGATAGGCTGACTTATCTTCTCACAGAAGACTGGTGCTTTAACAAAAAGTGAACGAGGTCAAGTTTATTACTAATGCAAATTACGGCCACTGGAAAACTACGAACTCTTGCATCGCGATTATCCTAATGACATCAGCAATGAAATACATATATTTGCTTAATTACGTAATTGGGAAAACAATCAGTTTCTGCAATTACGGTTATTCACAACGTGATATGCAAACATAAAAATCGGAAAAGCATTCATAAGGCTTTCCTACCAGAGCTTACTTCTCTACAGTGACTGAATACCTTTAGATAACAAAACCCGAGTACCTAAGTTTCCCAAACATTCCGAAACTTGCGCTTTCACAGTTTTTTAGGGTATTCCGATGTTTTGGCTATCCAGATCACTTCTGTTTTGGGTATTCCCTCTTGGCTATTACTTTGAAAGTGAAACGGCAAAAATAATAGGGTACATGGAAAAACAAAAGATCTAATTGGCAGAACAATAGCTCAGCACGCGCGTTTTAAAATTTTTTACATTTCTTAACCGTCCTATGCAAAACAATTCACCACGATTTGCGTCGTCTGCGAACCGAAACCGCGACGGCAAATTATTTTAATTTCCATTGGGAACTCAACGCTTCTTTTATACGTTATGCTGAAGTTGAGGTGTGGTGCCGTATGAGACGGCAAACTAATGCAGCCATTTTTAAAATTCTAATTAAAGGCAGAAATTCATTTTTAAATCGAAACCTTCCTTGCATTAGCTGCTTTATTTTTCTCCAATCATTCTGTACAGTTGAAATCGGACAGTGTAATCTGACAGTTGGCTGTAATCGGACACCTATAATCGGACAGTTGCAATTGAAGAAGCATTATACTAAGTCCACTCAGCTAAATCCACCAATCACAGAATTAATTACAATAACCATAGCAACAACCACTTATCTTGAAAAAAGAAAACTGGTGAATTTCAAAAATGGAGTAATTTTTTCCTTTTTCACGTAGTCTCTACCGGAGATGTTTGTCCAAAATGTAATTGTTGTTTACGGAAATTTTTAATCACTCGGTATGATTACAGACCGAATTGGATTCCCCTCGACCCTATTACGATAATCAATCATAAAGTTGCAATTTATTCGATTGTAATTGGTTTAAAAAACTCCCATTATCCACTAATTCACTT